TACTTAGAGCAATACTTGAACCCCTTAAGTGGTCACGGTCAATCCCAGATCCCTGTTGATCACTCCAGCCTCGGCAGGCACCATTCTCTGCCTGACAGGATACAGCACAGCAGCACTAATAACCAGTCTTCCATCTGTTCTGAAGACACCCAATTCTTTATCCCCTGAGGCTTTTAGACATACTATTCCCTCTGTCAAGAATTCTCTTTTTCAATTCTTCACATGATTAGCTCTATTCCTTCCATCCTTTCTCATTATAAAAGTCACCTGCTCCTCACAGAGGTTTTCCCTGATCAACTATATAGAAATTCAGTAGTTAAATCTAAATATGGTTTTAAAAATGTTAAAATATGAAAAAGCCATCTTGCCCAAGGTGAAGTAACAGGAAATGAATGTATTCAGTACCCTGAAACAAAACTGCAATTACTTTTGCACCAACCTAATAAACTGGTCAAAACATATGAAACAATGTTTCCAGGCACTGGACATCAGGGAGCAGAGATGAGTAATCCCTTAAAGAACAGCACAAACAAGGTGAGCTCTGTGATTACCAGAGGCTGCTGCCTGGAGAGAGTATCGGAAAGCAATATCAAAATGGGTTACTTAGGCAGAGCCCAGTGGAGTCTCCCTGGGTTGAGCAGATGGAGTTGCGTGTCTAGGTGTGCCACAGTGGGTAGAGTTTGCAGGGCAGAGTACCAGAAACAAGGGAACAGCATAATGACAAAAAAAAAAAAAAAAAAGAAAGCTCTGGAGATGTGGTAAGGATCTCCCTTGAAGCTTGAGCTGAATACTGATTAGTGCATGTGTGGGAAGAAACTATAGAGAGCCAAAGAAAGAACAACCTGAAAGGATTACAAGTAACCATCCTTGGAATTCACATAGGACTAGAAATAGTCTGTATTCCCATCAGCCAAAGAGGAATTTGGCTCCAAATTTCATGGAATATCAAGTACAGTACTCAAAAAGAAGTTATATCAGTAGAGAAGAAAATTAGCTTTAAAGATTGCTCTGATCTCAAATAACAGAGCAGAAAAGCAAGCCTAAGAAGAGTGAAAACCAGCCTCAAACTGTTTCCAAGTAACAGAACTGTGTCCCAGAACAAAGCCCAAGAATATTTATAAGAATGTAGAAATATGCAGTATTAAACAGGGTAAAATTTTCAATTACCAGCATCCAATCAAATATTACCAAGCATACAAAGAAGCAGGACAATAAAACCTATAAGAGGAAATATCAATCAGTAGAAACAGACCCAGAAATGAAACAGATAATAGAATGAGTAGACAAGAATTAACGATTATTATAATTATATTACATGTTTCAACTGTATTCCATGTTTAAAAATGTAGAGGAAGGATAGACGATGTTCAGGAGAGATATGCTTAAAGATTTTAAGATTTTTTTAAAAAATACCCAATCAACTTCTAGAGATGAAAATAAATAATCCGATATGAAAAATACACTGGATGGGATTAATGCAGCTTAGCATTACAGAAGAAAACATTAGTAAATACAAAGACAGCAATGGACGCTGCAAAATGAAAGAGAGAAAAAAGACTGAAGGGAAAAAATGAACAGAGCATCGGTAAGCCATGGGCAACTTCAAGTATCGTAAAGCAGTGGTGAGGAAACTTTGGGGGATGGATATGTTCAATTTTAGAATATGTGCTGCCAAGGCGAGCATGAATATGTTCATTATCTTGATGGCAGTGATGGTTACACAGGTGTATACATAATGCCTAAACTCAACAAATTGTACACTTTAGATATATTGTGTTTATTATACTTCAGTCATATCTAAATGTTATAAAAAAGGCAATGTGAAACTAAAATCCCAGATGATACCAATGTGGGAGACAGAAGTGGGATGGTGGTGGGTGGAGTGGAAGTCTGAGTGGGAAGAAATAGTAATTTTCTAAGCTTCTTGTCTATTTGGGAAGAGGGGATATGAATACGTATTAGCTGTAAAAGTTGTGATAAAAATGTAAGTTTTAAAACAAGTACACTAAAATTTATGGGTAGCAACAGAATGAAGAAAAGTAGAATGTATAAGTTTAAAACCAGTGGAAAAGAAACTACAGCAAAAAAAATACTGATCACTCCAGCTAACGCAGATAAGGGAGAAATTAGAGACATAATAAACAGGCAAGAAAAAGAATTAAACAAAGCTTTTTATTTAAGAAACAAACAAAAAAAGAAACACAAAACAGTCTGAAGTAAGTAGAAAGAAGGAATTAATAAACTTAAGGCAGAAATGTGGGAAAAGGGAAAGAAAAACTGTCAAGTGGATCAATACAACCAAAAGTGTTTTTAAAAGATCAATAAAATAAACAAAATTTGGCAAGTATTAAGGAAAACAACCTGGAAAACATAAGTAATATTAGGGGTGAAAAGGAAGGGGACAAGAGGGGTGTGTGTGTGTGTGTGTGTGTTTAAAGTTACAATCAAATGTTACATTTATTTTTATGCTAATAATTCTTTTGTTTTTTAAAGTCAACTTATTGAACTATAACTTACACACAATGAATTGCACATATTTTAAGTCCATAGTTTGATGAATATTGACAAATATATAATATTAATAGCCACCATCACCACAATTAAGGTAGAGAACATTTCTGACAACCCAGAAGGTTCCCTGTGTCAGTTCTCAATATCCTCTCCCCACCTCCTGGCTCCAGGTAGCTGCTGATCTGGAGCCTACAGTTTTACCTTTTCTTAAGTTTTGTATACACTGAATCACATCATATGTATACTTTTATGTATGACTTTTTTCACTCAACAAAATTTCAAAATTCATCCATGTCGACTATCAATACTTCATTCCTTTTCATTCTTGAGTACTAGTCTACTATATGAACGCATAATTTATCAGTTCACCTGCTGATGAACATTTGGGTTGTCCAACTTGGAGCTCTTTTGAATAGTGCTACTGTGAAATTTCATGTACGAGGCTTTGTGGATATATAATTTCATTTTCCTAGAAGAATGGAATTGCTGGGTCCTATGGTAAGTATAAGAAACTCAGGCAGTTGTCCCACCAATAAGGTATGAAAGTTCAGCTGCTTCAGATCCTTGCCAAATTTTATACCAATACACTAGAAAAATCTAATTGAGATAGAAACTTTTTCTAGGAAAATATAATTATAAAAATTAGGTGAAGAAAACTAGGAAAACGGAGAAGACTATAAACCATACAAAAGATATTGAAATGGTAGTTAAAGGTGAATTCCCCTCCAAAGATATAACAGGATCAGAGAGTTTTACTAATAAGCTTACCAAACTGTCAAGGAATAGATAAGTCCCATCTATTATTCAATCAGAACACAACCCTGATACCAATATTTGGTAAGGAAAATACCACAAAATCTACACAGTTCAGTATTACTACAGTCAAGGAAGCCAAAATTCTGTATTATGTTTTTTTAAAAAATAAGCAAAGCCTCAAGATCAGCAATAGTTTATACTAGGAATGGCAGGATACATCAACATTAGAAAAATCTAGCGATATTCTTTATGTTAACAAATTAGGCAATTAGGCCCAGTGCAGTATTATGCTTGTAATTCCAGCACTTTGGGAGGTCTAGGCAGGCAGATCACTTGAGCCCAGAAGTTTGAGACTAACCTGGGCAACATAGGGATACCTCATCTCTACAAAAAATAGAAAAATCACCAGGGCGTGGTGGTGTGCACCTGTAGCCTCAACTACTCGGGAGGCTGAGGTGGGAGGTCCCGCTTGAACCCAGGAGGTCTAGGTTGCAGTGAGCCGAGATTGTGCCACTGCACTGCAGCCTGAGTGACAGTAAGACCCTGTCTTAAAAAAATAAAAATAAAACTGTGTGATTACCTGAAAAGATTCAGAAATTCAGCAAATGTTCAACTGCCATTCTTGATTTTAAAACATATGGATACAGCATGTATACACACACTTAGAAATCTGAGCCGAGAAAGGATTTTTCTCTGGAAAACTAGAAAACCAAGAGAACCGATTAGCACGATTTAAACTAATGTGAGAGATCAGTAGTATGACTAAATACACAGGACCAACACTAAAATCAGTACCTTCTCTAGACATCAGCAGTAACCAATTAGAAAACACAATTTTTAAAAATAAATTTTTCATAAAAACTCAAAAAATATTGTTACTTAGGAATAAAACTGACAGACTTTTATGAGGAAATCTATAAAACTTTATTCAAGGATTTTTTTTTTTTTTTTTTTTTTTTTTTTTTTTTTTTTTTTTGAGACGGAGTTTTGCTCTTGTTACCCAGGCTGGAGTGCAATGGCGCGATCTCGGCTCACCGCAACCTCCGCCTCCTGGGTTCAGGCAATTCTCCTGCCTCAGCCTCCTGAGTAGGTCGGATTACAAGCATATGCCACCATGCCCAGCTAATGTTTTGTATTTTTAGTAGAGACGGGGTTTCACCATGTTGACCAGAATGGTCTCGATCTATTGACCTCGTGATCCACCCGCCTTGGCCTCTCAAAGTGCTGGGATTACAGGCTTGAGCAACCGCGCCAGGCCTATTCAAGGATATTTTAAATCTCAACCTCTTCCTGTATGTTTCTTTCTAACCCTTATTTTAAAATGCACTTTTAAAAGATTCACTTTTGTTTTCACTGGTTTTTCATACTCTCCCCTCTTTAGATTGTAAACTTGAGGACAAGGAGGACCTTATGTGCCCGGTTCCTCATGTCCTCACTCGACACTTTTCACAGTGCTTGGCACAAAGCTGGCGGTTTGTACCTGCAAAACGGGGAAGCACCCGCAGCTCCTCTTCTTTTCTACGTATCTTGTCGCACATTACGCAATAATGTACAAAAATTGCTCCAGGTCTCCCACATGACAATGCCTCCGCCTACCACGCACCCAGCCAATCAAAGCACTGGACACCTACGCCCTCGCTCTCCCCCCACCTCACCCGCAAGGCGGCACGAGCCGGAATCTTCCAGTCTCAGGCTGTTTGTCCTCCAGCGGGTCACTGCGATTGCGCGCTGCGTCCTGATTGGCCGAGAGTTGCGGGCTGCGTGCGCAGGCGCCTACCTCGGTTACTTAGGGCGGGAGCCCGGCGAGGGCGCTGGTGGGTTGTGCTGCCTGAGGCCCGGAGTCCTGACCTCTCTGCCATGCCGAACCGCAAGGCCAGCCGGAATGCTTACTATTTCTTCGTGCAGGAGAAGATCCCCGAACTACGACGGCGAGGTCTACCTGTGGCTCGCGTCGCTGATGCCATCCCCCACTGCTCCACAGACTGGGCGGTAAGGCCGCAGAGGAGTGAGAGGGCTGGGCAGGGCAGTTGGGCAAGCTGGAGGGTGAGGCGGGAGGGCAGAAGGCCTCGAGGAGGTCAGGCGGCCTGGCCCTGCCAGAGGAAGCCGAAGGGCCTCGTTCGTGGCCCTGGGCAAACCAACGCCAGAACCACCTCCCTGTAATGTCCGGGCATCTGCCTGGGGGCCCCAGAGCACTCGATTCTCACGGCTGCTTCTCTTCTTTACCTTTTCAATCTCCAAAAGCTTCTGAGGGAGGAAGAAAAGGAGAAATACGCAGAAATGGCTCGAGAGTGGAGAGCCGCTCAGGGAAAGGACTCTGGGCCTTCAGAGAAGCAGGTAAAGTTAGCAAAAGAAGAGCAGCTGTCTGTCTGCCTGGCACATGGGCGCGGTCAGTGATAAAGGCTGGATGAGTGAATGAGTGAATGTCAAGGGTAGACTGCTTTGGGGATTCGGTTAGTGTGAAGACGACGTTCTTCTTTTCCCCTGGTGTCAGAATGCCTGTTAAAAAAAAAACCCTACAGACTCCGTAACTGGGACATGCACACACACTGGTGGAATTTGGTGGTGAGAGGCCTGGGGCATTCCGGTTAGGAAACCCGCAGACAATACACTTACATCAGGAATGGGAGTGTAACATCTAGGGGTTATACTAGATGATATCAAGGTGTCCCTCTCAGCTCTTCTGTGATTAATGAGCCTGGGCGGGGATGTGGGGGAGGAGGGTGTTACAAGTAGTTTAGATGATTCTTTTTTTTTCCTTTAGCAAAATATACCATTCTTTTAAAATGACACCTGAAACAAAGCCATCTGCTGTGTTTAAAATTTTGGAATAACAGGGCTTGGATGAGTTGGTGTATGTGTATATGTCTTACAGGAGTTGAATAGCTGGGCGTGGTGGCTCACGCCTGTAATCCCAGCACTTTGGGAGGTAGAGGTGAGCGGATCACTTGAGGTCAGGAGTTTGAGACTGGCCTGGCCAACATGGGGAGACCCCGTCTCTATTAAAAATTTAAAATTGTGGGGGCAGGGAGTAGTGGGGCAAATAAAAAAAAATTAAAAATAAAAAAAGCGGGGAGTGGTGGCAGGTGCCTGTAGTCCCAGCTACTCAGGAGGCTGAGATGGGAGAATCGCTTGAACCCGGAATGCAGAGGTTGTAGTGAGCTGAGATCGCACCGCTGCACTCCAGCCTGTTCGAAAGAGCAAGACTCTGTTTCCAAAAAAAAAAAAAAAAAAGTTGAATAAAGTTTATTTGGGTAAATTTCTATGTAGTAAAATGTTAAAGTACTAAATAAAATTTGTTTTCTTGTTGATTTGTATCAGGAAAATACAAGGTAATTGTTGGTCCTACCACCTACCCTTTGTTTTTTCCGTTCTTACATGGTAAAATTCCATTCTTAAACTGTCAACATTGGTTTGAAATTCAAGAGATACTTTTATTTTGTAGATTTATGAGTAGAAGCTATACTTGCAAGCTTTGTTCTTACAAGATACCTTCCCTCAAAACTTAAGCTATGGTGTATGTGTACCTTATGTGAGACTTAGAGGCAACATAATCTGGTTTTGACTTTACGAGCGATATTAAAGTACTTTGGGGAATAGTGTGCTTTTGGCCACTGGCCTGGCATATAGTAAGTGACTCAGGATGATTACCTTGGATAATCAGTAGTGGGCAAAATGGCTTTCAGTAATAGTATTGGTTATTTACCATTCCCCTTCTGATTCAGAACATTTATAGATTTGTTATTCTGCCTTTGGGTGTTGGTATTATTGACAGATACATTTATTCATTGGATTCGTTGACCTTGGTAATCTATAGGTGGTTTTGCAGTTGTTTAGCTAAATTTTAATATATGGTCTAAAGTGCCCAGCAAGAGTTTATGTGGCCACTCATTCTTTTCCTCTTTAGAAACCTGTTTTCACACCACTGAGGAGGCCAGGCATGCTTGTACCAAAGCAGAATGTTTCACCTCCAGATATGTCAACTTTGTCTTTAAAAAGTGAGCAAGGTAGAGTAATCCTGAAATATTTTGCTTAGATAAATATGAGTGCCCAAAACACTATATTTGTCAATAAAAATGTTTTCTGTTCATTTTGATCCTCTATTTAAAGTAATTAACTACAAGTATTAAATATTATGGTGCTGACATTATAAAAGATCAGGTAATTTGTTGAAATAAGAGAGTTTTGTTTTGTTTTAACAAAAATCTGGTCTCTGTTTCTACCACTTCATATGTTGTTAAACATAGGTATTTTTAAAGTCTTATTTATAATGGGACACTTAAATAAACTTAAAAACAAAAGTAAGCAAGTGGAATAAGATTTTCAGATCTGTTCTACAGTGTGATGACTACAGTTAATGTATGTTTCAAAATTGGTAAGAGTAGGTTTTACATATTCACACCACAAAAAAGTGAGGTGATAGATATGTTAATGAGCTTGATTTAATCATTCTACAATGTATACGTGTATCAAAACTACATTGTACCTCATAAATATATTTTATTATTGTTAACTAAGAATAAAATTTTTTAAAATCCTGAATGGTAGAGGGAAGTTATAAAGATACAAATGAATTGTGGAGACTGCTAAGAAGAGAACATAGTTAATAAGGATCCTTGCTATTCCTTCTGGTTTTTATTAATTGTGTTCTGCCTTTATTGAACACTAATAAACTTTTAACAGTCTTAAATGTGGCCTATCTTGGTAAATAACAATTCACACATTCTCACATTCCTTTATTCCTTTGGAGGATTTGTAGGTGGTCTTATATGTATTGGTGAAAAGTGAAAAAAGAATGAACTGAATTGTTTATGATTTATATTACAGCCTTTCTACATTGGTTCTGCTCAGCTTCATTTCAAACCTATTTGTTGAATAAGGGTCACAGCTCTTATGTCATTCCTGAGATTCGGGGCTCATGTATGGCCGAATTATGTAGAGCTGGCTGCAAGTTAGAATATTGTTGCTTCATGCAAAGAGTGGTTACTTTAATCCTTGATAAGTGTAATTATAAAAATTTTTATTTCTTTACTTGGTATAGCTGATTAGTTTTCTCTTTTCCAGCTCATTTAGGAATATAGGAACAGAAAGAAAACTGTTCTAAAACATTTATTTCTCTTGAACTAAAGAGGCTTTTGTGGAAGAGGTAAATTTGAGACATTCATTTGTTCATTTTATCTCACCATTTTTTTTTTTTTTTTAGCTTTCCTTGGAGGCATTTTTTATTTTTTGAACATTTTTAGCCATGGCGAGCTACCTCCTCATTGTGAACAACGCTTCCTCCCTTGTGAAATTGGCTGTGTTAAATATTCTCTCCAAGATGGTATTATGGCAGATTTCCACAGTTTTATAAATCCTGGTAAGTAGTCAGTTAGAGTAGATGCTAGATCTTAAAAGTGCATGTTATTTTTTTAATCTTGAAAACAAGACTTTATAATTCTTATGGAAAAACTGACAGAAATTAGGTGTTGACACAGGGTTTTTTGGTTTAGGCTTTTAACCTCAAGTTACCATTAAAATCAGTATTGTTCAGATAGACTATTTGAACAATTCATAGCCTGCTATTCACCTACCTATGGCCTTACATATTGGGATTTTCTAAAAGCTGTGTATGCCATGGTCTTTTCTTTCTCTACCTCTTCCTTCACCTCAGTAGTGACTAGCTTTTTAAACTGCTATTGCTTTGTAACCTTGAGGAAATTACTTAACCTCTCTGAACCTATTAGCTCATTTGTAAAGTGGGGATAATACCTATTGGAAGGTTGTTTGTTCTAAGGAATAGATGAGAAATATGGAAATAGCCTAAATACTTAATCGGCTCTCAGATATTATCAGCATCTCTTCTTCCTACAGCTCCATCTCATTAAAAAGCAAAATAGGTATCAAGACATAGGATTTTATATCCTTGAATGTAAGTAGGAAGAATATATAGGGAGAAGAGACTGGGGAAGTGACTTCATTTTCAGTTTTGTCAATTACTTTAAAATTAATTAGGAATCCCAGCACTTTTTCCTCCTCATTTTTAGAGGACAAAAACATTAATCATCCTACTCACAATTGCGAGTGTTGCTACTTAGGGCAAGTCAAAGAACTGCTGTTCCCCACATGGGTTATAAGATATTAAAAAGATAGAATTGGGGACTATTTTTTCTCTGAGAAATGCATATACACCTTGCTGTATCAACACCCTTATGACCCCCTGAGGCCCATTCATGGACTCGGAGCTAAAACTCTTTTGACACGTGCCTTCCTTATCTAGTATTTCTTTCTTTGTAAGGAGTAACTTACTTTTAAAAATAGCTTAGACAATATACCAAATTCTTCAACAGTTATTTCAAACCAACAGCCTTTGGTTAAAAATAAACCCTATACAAGTTTAATCCTTTGTATTTTCACATAATAAAAATTACCTTTCTGTGTTACAACTTGGTCATCCTATGGAGTATTACTGTAGCACTACTAGAGAACTTTTGAAATTTCTGCTTCTCAATTAAATGTTTTGTATTATAGGTGAAATTCCACGAGGATTTCGATTTCATTGTCAGGCTGCAAGTAAGTATAAAGGAACGGGGTAGGATTTGTGAATTGAATATATTCATACCTGGTTAGACTTACTCCTTTAACACATAAAATATAAACTACGTGGAAAATAACCTTAGGTTATTGTTAGAGAATCTGCATAGAAGTGATAGATGGTGTCTGTGATCTTTAAATTTTTTATAGACTGATAGTATATTGTCCCTTTTCCTTTCAGGGAATTGTCATTTTATTTTCTGTATATATCCTTTGACCTTAAGGTCAGCTGCACTTAGTGGCTAGATACTTAGCAGTCTTTTAAGAGGTCTCAGATTATTTAGATTTAGGTTCATTTTCAGGGATGTCCATTTCAAATGTTTTTAAAAAGTTATTACTTCAAAAATAAAGAGTTCTGAATTTTTTAGTTAAGGAAAACAGTTTTCTAAGTATTTTGCAACCAAAGGGCATGACTGTATACCTAAACCCTTGAACTAAACTCTTTTTCTAGGAACTAGGTTTTAGCAGTTTCTGCTTAAATAGAATGAAAATCATAATAGGTTTATGTATATTAAATTAAAACTGTCAGTGCGTAGGGACCATTTAATGATTCCTGTCTGTAATTTTTTTTACTTAAAACTGTGGACAACTAGCCTGTAGAAGTGTTTGAAATTAGAAGTAAGTTTTTCAAATCTGCCATAACAAGCAGCTATAATACACTGTTCTTTATATATGAACATACTTTGGACTTATATTTGGTTATGTATTTTGAATTCCTAATTTGTACTAATCCATTATTTGACTGGAATCTGGGCTGTAGGCTACGGAATAAGAAGCGTAAGGGAGAACTGTTTTAGTAGTTCCTTCTTAAATAGCTTTAAATGGAAAAAAAATTACAATATGGAAGAAAAATTCTGTACTTGCTTTGAAGTGTGAACATAGCTAATATCCCCAACTGTTACATCATCTAAGGTTACTGAACTACATAGACAGAAGTTAAAATATATGTATATATATATATATATATATATATATATATATATATATATAAACTTAGCTGGTGAATTAATTTTCACATATTTACTTAAACTCTGTTTCAGGTTTATTGGAATCCCTACTATGTGCCAGACATTCATTTATGAGAGTGTCACTGGCTTACTGTTTCTTCTTTGTTTTGATTCTGTTAACTCCTTCTTAAAAATCTATTTTTGACAACCTATTTTTACAGCCTTTTCAAATCAGATTAACAGAAAGTATGGTTCTTTAAAAAAATCTATTAAAGACTCTAGGAATATTTTCTTAATTATTCAGTGTAGTCAAAACTGGGTACAATGTTTCTCATTCAAGGAAACTTAAAATGTTTGGAGCTTAGCAATTTCAGTGGGTCTTAAATTGCCAAGTTTATAATCCTGGGAAATATGCCAGTTAAATAGGATAAATGACTATTAGAGTGACACCTGTCACCATAATAACTAAAAATGCCTATGCTAATGTAATTGAGCTGATTTAGAGGAGACTGTGTTTCATACAGTCACACAGTGAATGAATTTACATGTGGATATGAAGAATATGAGTGGTATTTAAGGAACATGCATATTGATCTCTCAAATACCCCTGTGCTGTCTGATCTTTTATGAACTATGAGTGTGAGGATAGGAGGTCTTGGTTCTCCTTGCCCAGTTTAACCAAAGGAGCTCTGCTTCTCTCCATTTTACTGGTTCATGATTTTCTTGCAAGAAATTGTGCTTTAAAACATCAGCATTTTGAAATTTGCTTTCAGCTTCCTATACGAAAGGTCCATCAGCTTTTCAAAGGAAGCTTCTATACACAGAACAGATTATAACATTTAAGGCATAAAGAACATTAATGAACAACAAAGCACACACAAGTCAACTGAAAAAATAGTTCATTGCCAGTCCCATATTTCTCCCTAATGGCATCCCCTTCCCTCTTTATAGGAAAACGACGACTCTGGATTTTGTGTTTGAATTTTGTGTATTTCTTTTCTGAATAGTTTTACTACATGGACATATTTATTTAAATGATATATTTAATTTTATTTGTTTCAACTTTTATGTAATTAACATATTGTATATATCAGGATGCCCAATCTTTTGGCTTCCCTGGGCCACTTTTTTTTTTTTTTTTTTTTTTTTTTGAGATGAAGTCTCACCCTGTTGCCCAGGCTGGAGAGCAGTAGCAAGATCTCAGCTCACTGCAACCCCTGCCTCCCAGGTTCAAGCAATTCTCCTGCCTCAGCTTCCCAAGCACCTGGGATTACAGGCTTACACTATCACGCCTGGCTAATTTTTTGTATCTTTTTTTCTTTTTTTTTTTTTTTTTGAGACGGAGTTTTGCTCTTGTTACCCAGGCTGGAGTGCAATGGCACGATCTCGGCTCACTGCAACCTCCGCCTCCTGGGTTCAGGCAATTCTTCTGCCTCAGCCTCCCTAGTAGCTGGGATTACAGGCACGTGCCACCATGCCCAGCTAATGTTTTGTATTTTTAGTAGAGACGGGGTTTCACCATGTTGACCAGGATGGTCTCGATCATTTGACCTCATGATCCACCCACCTCGGCCTCCCAAAGTGCTGGGATTACAGGCGTGAGCCACCGCCCCCAGCCAATTTTTGTATCTTTAGAAGAGACGGGTTTCACCACATTGGCCAGGCTGATCTCAAACTCCTGACTTCCTGATCTGCAGCAACCATGACCGTGATAGTCACTGGCCAGCAACATCAAGGCAGGATCTTCTACCAGCAACATCAAGGCAGGATCTTCTAGTTTAAATGGGAATTTAAACTAGTATAACCACTATAGAAAAAAAATGTGGAAATTCCTTAAAGAACTAAAAGTAGAACTACCATTTGAAAATTCTGACATTCACACTCCTGGGTATCTACTCAGAGAAAAATAAGTCATATTAAAAAGATAACTTGCACACACATGTTTATAGCAGCACAGTTTGCCGTAGCAAAAAATATGGAACCAGCCCAAATGCCCATCAGTCAACAAGTGGATAAAGAAACTAGTATATATGTTTGTATATATATGATGGAATACTACTCAGCCATAAAAAGGAGTGAGTTGATGGCATTTGCAGCAACCTGGATGGGATCAGAGACTGTTACTCTAAGTGAAGTAACTCAGGAATGGAAAACCAAGGATGTTCCCAGTCATAAGTGGGAGCTAAGCTATGAGGATGCAAAGGCATAAGAATTATGCAAGGGACTTTGGAGACTTGGGGAGGAGAAGCATAGGAAGTGGGTGAGGGATAAAACACTACAAATTGAGTTCAGTGTGTACTACTTGGGGGATGGGTGCACCAAAATCTCGTAAATCACCACTGAAGAACTTACGTAACCAAATACCACCTGTTCCCCAAAAACCTATGGAAATAAAAACATTTAAAAAAAATCTTTCACCAGCAAAAAGATTGCAACTCACTGAAGAATCAGCTGATCATTAGCATTTTTAGCAATAAAATATTTTTAGATTAAGATATGTGTTCTTTTTTAAAACAATGCTATTGCACACTTAACAGTCATAACTTTAGAGTACAGTAAACATAATTTATATATACTGGGAAACCAAAATATTTGTGTGACATTTCAATACTCACTTTATTGTGACAGTCTGGAACTGAAACTACAGCATCTTCAAGATATTCTTACATTCCCAGTTTGGCTAGGGAAATAGCAGTTGCACATTTCAGTGAATGTTCTTTCTGCATGTCATATGATTTGTGTCTTTTGTTCATGTGGCCATTTATTTACTTATTGAGACAGAGTCTCATTCTGTCACCCAGGCCAGAGTGCAATGGCATGATCTCAGCTCGCTGCAGCCTCTGCCTCCTGGGTCAAGCAATTCTCGTGCCTCAGCCTCCTGAGTAGCTGGAATCATAGGTGCATATCATCATACCCAGCTAATTTTTGTATTTTTAGTAGAGACAGGGTTCCCCCACTTGTTGGCCAGGTCAGTCTCAAACTCCTGATCTCAAGTAGTCCTCCCAACTTACCCCCAAAAGCACTGGGATTACAGGCGTGAGCCACCACGCCAGCCTCGTGGTAATCTACTAGTGTTAAACTAACCTTGTCTTCCAGGAACAAGCCCATCATGGTTACTGTATATCTCACATATAAAATACTGAGTTTGGTTTGTTACTATTTTGTTTTAGGACTTTTGCATTTATGTTAAAGACTGAGATTAACTTTACCTAATTTTATTATCAAGGTTATTTTGCCATTATACAATGGTTTTGGAAATAGATTTTCAGTTTTTGAATTTGGTTATTTTTAATGGCTCTAGAGAAATTAACTAATATTGTCTTTAATTTCCCTAAACATAATAAGCTTAGTTATTTTAAAGTGTTACATGTCTGATAATCCTCTTACAGGGATCTTCTTTTGGACGTTGATTTTATAGTCTGTTGGTTATCTGTATATTCAGTAAAGCTATCAGAATCTCTTCATATGTCTATTTTTGAGTGCTAAATAGTGTATATGAGGTCTTGTTATTTCTCTTCAAAGATTTATGATTAGGTCTGTTAGAAAGCTGGAGTCACTAGCATCTCAGATTATCTTATTCCATTTTCTGGAATTGAGGTGGTTTTAAATTGGGCTTTAGACCTCATGAAAGTCCATTTGTAGCTGGGCTTTACTAGAAACAGGGGAAGGATGGACGGATAATCACCAAAGGATTATTAGTAAAATTTACATTTGACTTCACAACATAACCAATGGAAGACAGAAGATAATGGAATTTTTTTAATTATAAATTTTTTTATGTAATATTGCAATAAAGTATTTAGTTCTTACCAGCTCTGAGTTTAGTGGAAACTCTGTTCTGTTTCTCTAAATCTCCACTTCCAGAATTGGTAACTGACCCTGGGAAGAAACAAATACAACTGCCAGATTCAGCTCTCTAAGATTTGTTCCTTTCCAAGATTTTGGGCCCATGATTCATGATTCCTCACCATTTTTATCTCTGCAGGTCTTTGAAGAAGGTGTTTCATCTGTTCAGCTTTTCCCTAGTCTATCATTAGAAGTTGAATAACTCCTGCATCTGTTTTGGGGAGAATGAGGGAGAATGAAATTCTTGCTCATTCACTCAGGCTGGAGTGCAGTGGTGTGATCATAACTCACTGTGGGCTCAAACTCCTGGCTCAGTTGATCCAGCCTGAGCCTCCCAAGTAGCTGGGACTGCAGGTGCATACCACCACACCTGGCTTCCTTAATCTTTTTTAAAATAACAATTTTATGCTAAAATTTGTGATTTGATCTCCTCAGACATAATTATGTAAAATCTTCTGAGACATAATTATGTAAAAATTATGTAAAATTCTCTTATCTTAATCCATTAATTCCTAATGCTCAGTGTGATCTTAATATCCTCAAGCTTTTTTATTTTCTGTGGGAAAGTTGGTCTAAATTACTTGGTCTTTATTTTTTCTTTGGGTGTCATATAACTTTTTATAAAGCAGTCATTACTATTTAGTTCTCAAAGAGCTGTAAGACTGTGGGTTAAAATATGTAAAATCCTCACCAAAATGGGGCTGGGTACAAGTACTTAACTATGTGTTATCCACTACTCTCTTCTTATACCCCTACTTCCATACATACCCCATAATATTTGTCTTGCTCAAAGTTTGAACTTCTTTTTATTTCCCTCAGGTGATTCTAGTCACAAGATTCCTATTTCAAATTTTGAATCTGGGCACAGCCAAGCAACTGTGTTACAAAACCTTTATAAATTTATTCATCCCAGTCCGGGGAACTGGCCACCTATCTACTGCAAGGTAATAATCAGGTTTAGAAGTTCTTTTAAGGTATCAATTTATATACCAAAAGAACCATAAACCAAAGAATTTTTGCCTGTGTATTTTTGTCTATGTATTCATTGTGTGTCTTAAAACATATTTATTTTGAATTGTTTTGAATGTAATTATGTATAATGCTTATTTTTAAAATTTCTCCAATTTGGAAGGATTTTGAAGACTACAAAAGCTAAATATGTGTCTGTTTTGGTAGAGTTCATGTTGAGTTCCTTTTTCTGAACAATCTGCAATGTCTTTTTACTCTTATGAATGGATGCTCCAAAATATCTTACCTAAATAAGTGCAGAGTTGGGGGGGAAAAAAAAGAATGGATGCTCCATTCTGTACACCAGTCTTTCCAAACAAGATTACCTGTTCTTTGTAGCAACCCCTTCCCTTCTATGTTTGTAATATTTAGAGACTATATTCTTCCAGGCTTGGAGTTGAAAAATTGAGTTTTAACCTTGCTACTTAGTCTAACCATGAGGTGATTACCTGATCTTTTTCTTAACATTGGTTTCTTCATTTGTGTACCCTAGGACTCTCTTCCTCCTCATAAAGTATCTTAAAATTTCTGTATAAATGTAACTGATTAATAACAGCAGTAGTCTTTTCTAATATATGTCAGTTTTTTATAGTTTTCATTTCGTTGTCACAAACTTTTCAGTCTTTCTTCTATATCCCCTACCGTGCAATGACCCATTTTTAAAGGACAGCATTAGAAGTCATTTAAAGTAGGAGAAGATGCAAGTAATTTTTTTTTTTTTTTTTTTTTTTTTTTTTGCTTTCTCCAGTCTGATGATAGAACCAGAGTCAACTGGTGTTTGAAGCATATGGCAAAGGTATCAGGTAAGTAAAACTCTTGGGTTGCCGCAGAAGTGCTTTGTAGTATCTGTATTTGTTTCCATTTTGGTATCTTCCAAGTATCTCAACTTACTAACTGTATGTGTTTTTCTGTTTACTAATGGAAGAAATCAGGCAAGATCTACAACTTCTTACTGTAGAGGACCTTCTAGTGGGGATCTACCAGCAAAAATTTCTCAAGGAACCCTCTAAGACTTGGGTTCGAAGCCTCCTAGATGTGGCCATGTGGGATTATTCTAGCAACACAAGGTATTGCTAGCATTTTTGCTTTCGAGTCATTTTGACGTCTAAATTGAGAAAATATGGTAGGATTATTTTTGTTTTTTTGTATAATATTTTCCCATTTAAGCTTGGAATCATTGTATTTTCTTGAATATAAAATTTCATTGATAGTAAGATACATTGTTGTTACTTGTGTACTGCTAAAAACAAACTGCCAATAAACTGTTCTTATCACTTAGAATTTCTATGCTGATGAAATAATGTCCTTAGATTTATTTAGACAGATTTTTATTACATAGAAGACTTGTACTTACATATAAAAGAATATATAAGTAAAATAAATAGGCAAAAGTATTTTTTATTTTGAGATAATTTTAGACTTACAGAAAAGTTGCAAGAATAATACAAAGTATGCTATTCTGTTTCCTTAATTGCCAACATTTTAATAAATTTTCTATAATTTTGTTCCTAAATATATGTATGCTTTTTTAAAACCATTTGGGGGTAAGTTGCTGTCATTATGCCTGTTTACACTTAAGTACTTCAATATATGTTTCCTGCAAATAAGAATTAGTTTAGTCTACAGCCGTAAGCACCCTGAACATGCCTGATCTTTTCTGATCTTACAAGCTAAGCAGGGATTGGCCTGGTTAGTACTTATATGAGAGACTGCCTGGGAATACTGGGTGCTGTAGGCTTTTACTGTGTATGTAGGTGCGTGTGTGTGTGTGTGTAGAACATTTATATTACCATAGTGTAATTATAAAAATCAGGATATTGGATATAGGATGCAATACTATTATCTAATCTGAAGACCATATTCTTAATGTATTATTGTTCCACTATGTTTTTTATAGCCAAAAAAACTCTTGAGTCCAATCCAGGACCACATGTTGCACTTAGTTATTATATCTCTTTAATCTGGAAACAGTTCCTCAGTCTTACTTTCATGATCTGGACATTTTTGAGTACAGGCCAGTGATTTTATAGAATAGTTTCTTACTTTGAGTTGATCTGTATTTCCTCATGGTTAAATTGAGAGTATGTGTTTTTGGCAGGAATACCACAGAAGTGATTATGTGACTGCTCAGTGTGTCGTATCTGGAGGCATATGATGTCAGTTTGTCCCTATACTGATAATGATAACTTTGATCACTTGTTTATGATAATGCCTGTCAATATTTCTCTATTGGGAAGTTATTATTTTTTTACCATATAATATATATAGACAGAGTCTTGCTCTGTCACCCAGACTAGAGTGCAGTAGCACAATCTCGGATTACTGCACCTTCCGCCTACCAGGTTCAAGCGATTCTCGTGCTTCAGCTTCTTGAGTAGATAGGATTACAGGCACCCATCACTGGGCCTGGCTAATTTTTGTATTTTTAGTGGAGATGGGGTTTCACCATGTTGGCCAGGCTTGTCTTGAACTCCTGACCTCATGCAGTCCACCTGCCTCAGCCTCCCAAAGTGCTGGGATTACATGCGTGAGCCACTGCTCCCAGCTTTTCGCCATATAATTAATAAATATTTTGTGGGGAAATACTTTCAGATTGGGTAGATATTCTCTTTCTCAAACTTTCATATACAAGTTTTAGTATCCATTGCCAATTTTTGCCTGAGTCAGTTATTACTATCATTGTGAAAGGTGACTTTTCTAATTTGATTGTTCCTTCTGCATTTATTTGTTGGCATTCCACTGTTAAAAAAAAAAAAGCTTCTCCTTTTCACCCACTTATCTTTTTCATTTGTATGAGCATGGACTCATCGATTACTATTCAATACATTATAATCTATTACTGTATTTTATTTTTATGATCAAATTGTTCCATATATGGCCAGTGGGAATACCTTCAAGTGGGGATTTGTGTGTCCTTTTGACATTGCTTCATTGCTTTCTATCTAACGGTGCTTCTTTGCTTTCTGTTTGGCACAAAATGTTCCAGGCTTATCTTTTACTTTCTCTGTTCTAGCCCTGGATTAGCCATTTCTCCGAGAATCTCTGGTTTCTTTTACTGGAGCATAATATTTAGGAGATGGGATCTGGTTGGTAGGTGTGCTCATTTCTTACTAGACTGTCATTGATTCTAGATCCCCTTAGTGGAGAGAGCTGGGAAAGAGTGTGTGTGTGTGTGTGTGTGTGTGTGTGTGTGTGTGTGTGTGTGGTTGGTTTATACTCTACATACACATCTGTTTGTAGCTAGGTCTCTTACTCTTTTTATCCATCTCTGCCTTACCATGAGTTCACACTTAACCTATAATTTCGATCCAATACCTTAGAATTCTCTAGCTTTTTTTACTTTTTTAAAAATTTTATTTCTCTGAGCATGAGAACCTGGGCTGTCAATATTTTTCAGAATTATATGATAACCGCTGTTTTGAAAAAAAGACATACAACTCTAGAGTTTGTTTATAGTAGTTTTTAGTCTGAAAGTATGTAGTCAAAATACTTTGTTCAAAAGTTATTTAGGTTCTTTTTTTCCCCTTTCAGTACAAATTATTATTTTAGAATATACTAATAGTTAAGTTCATTTGCTTGTTTGTATTCCATTTTTGCTCATTTATTTTTTGAATGTCTAAAGCATTTCCATTGTGTAAACAACAGTAATATTCAGAAGTGTCAGTTTATTATAGCTCCATAAAAAAATCTTGTTAGTGCATTAAATTTATAAATTAACTTGGGGATAACTGAAATATTTATAATGTTGAGTTGTTTCCAAGACTAGGGACATCTTTCCATTGTTCAAATCTACTTTTGTGTCTTTCAAATATGTTTTAAAATTTTTCTCACAGGGATTGTGCATATCTGGGACTGGCGCATTTTTGTAGGGGCAGTTCCTTGATAACTTTTTCTATGGAAATTGGTTTTATTAGGGTTTCTAATTTTAACGGGGTAAATTTTGGTAATCTGTATGTTTTTGGAAAATGATACATATTATATAGCTTTTGAAAGTTATTTGTTTAAAGGTCTGCAAATAAGTGTGGTCTCTTAAAATTTTTTAAATTTCTTCTGTTTCAGCGGTTATCTTGTCATTGTGTATTTGTGCTCTCATTGTTTTGTAAGCAAGTGTGTTGTCTTTTATTGAGAGCAGTAGGATTTTAATTTATTAGACCTGTGTTTCTGTTCCCTTCCTAATTAATTTTTGCTATTCTCTTTGTATGTTATGGTTCTTCTCCTAGTTTTGGGGGCTGGAAATGTAATTCATTTATCTTTTGCCTGATTTTTTTGATGTGTTTAGTAGAGTGAATTTTCTCTTAATCATTGTTTTCAATGAATTACATAGATTTTTTGCATGCAATATTTTCATTGCCATTTTAAACAAATTCTGTCATTTTAACTCTCAAACACTATCTCTTTAAATACAAGGCTTTTAAATGTCCAGGCAAGAAGGACTTTCTGCATTTTGTTTTTCTTTTAGTAAATTCCAGTGTTTTTACATTGTGATCAGAAAATGTAATATTTTTACTTTATGGAAGTTATTGGTATTTGGGGTTTATTTTTTGCTAACTTAACATGATCAATTTTCGTGACTGTTCTCTTGTCATATGAGAATATACTTTCTTTTCAGGATATAGCATTTGAGATACATATACACACACATACGTGACCTACATTGATTGTATTGTTTAAAACTTTTGCTAATGTTTTACACAGTATTACCTTGAGTTTCTAGAAAATACAACTTCATTTTATGGCTTTATGTGTTCCTTTTGTGAAATTTGGTCTGTTAATTCTCTTGACCTTAGTTATCTGATATTTTTGACTGGAGTTATTTTGCCTGGAGACCTTAGTCTTTTTTCAAAGTCTAATACTTTCACTAGGATGTTTCTCTGAGTTTATATGCAGGTCCATTTATTGAGACATTTGGTGAGCCCTTACAACATGCAGAATCAGGTTCTATTTCTGGAGATTTTTTTTAGATCATAGTTTAATATTAGTTTTGTTCCACTATTTAATGTTTCTTCTTAAAAGGAGTCATATGTACATATGTGTATATATGTTTCATCTTCTTTGCCTTTCATTTTGATCACTTTTTCTGACCCTTTTTACTTTGTTTATTCTCATGATAGTTTCTGCTTTCTTCAGTTTCTCTTATTAACTTTACAAATGAGTCTGTTCAACCTTGAGCAGTTGGTAATTTAGTTCTTTTCTTTATTTTTTTTCTTTTTTTCCCTCTCTTTCCTGAGTTAACTCATTTCTTTTTCTTTTTTTATTTATTTTGGTTTCTAGTTTCAAAGTTTCTCATTCAGGGTGTGTTTCCATATTCTCACATCCTTCTGAGAATATTTAATTTAACATGAAATGGTAATTGATACGGTTTGGCTCTGTGTCGCCACCCAAATCTCACCTCGAATTGTCATCCCCATAACCCCCACATGTCAATGGTTAGACCAGGTGAAGGTATATGGATCATGGGGGTGGTTCCTTCTAGCTGTTCTCATGAGATCTGACAGATTTAATAAACATCTGGCATTTCTTCTGCTTGCATTTACTCCGTCATGCCGCCTTGTGAAGACAGTAGCTGCTTCTCCTTTGCCTTTCCCATGATTGCAGATTTCCTGAGGCCTCCCCAGCAATGCAAACTATGAGTCAGTTAAACCTCTTTCGTTTATGAATTACCCAGTCTTGAATATTTCTTCCTAGCAGTGTAAGAATGGACTAAGAGTAATGTTATGTTTTTTTTCTCCTTTATATTTTTTGGGGAGGCTTGAGTATGAGAAGTTATCAGCAAAAGTGTTTTAATTCTAATTTTCTATTTTCCTTTTCTTCTTTTTTTTTTTAAAGAGTCGTGCTGTCATCCCAGCTGGATTGCAGTGACATAATCATAGCTCACTGCAGCCTAGAACTCCTAGGGTCAAGCAATCCTCCTGCCCCAGTCTCCTGAGTAGCTGGGACTACAGGCATGTGTTACCATGCCTACCTAGTTATTTTTCATTTTTTGTAGAGACAGAGTCTTGTTACGTTGCCCAGGCTGGTGTAAAACTTCTGGCCTCAAGCGATCTTCCTGCCTCAGCCTCCCAAATTG